ATTGATTTATTTGCAACTCTCATTATGCCAGCCACAGTTGCTTATCTTTGTTATTTGGGTTATGAAATTGCTAGGGATCCAACAACTGTCCCTATCTTATCATTAACATTACTTGCTGCTGTATATGGTTTACAAGCAGTTATATTTATTCTTCGTAGAAAATGGGAGCATGTTGGTTGGATGATTGTTTATATCCTTGCTATGCCTGTATTTTCTTTCTACTTACCAGTTTATGCATTCTGGCATTTTGATGATTTCTCTTGGGGTAATACTCGTGTTGTTGTTGGTGAAAAAGGAAAAAAATCAACTGTAGCTGATGAAGGAAAATTTGATCCAAAAACTATTCCTAGAAAAAAATGGTCTGATTATGAACAAGAATTATGGGAAGTTAATACACAAGGATCTCAAGATTCTGCTCATACAAGAATTTCGGATCGTTCTTATCATTCTAATCGATCAAATAAGAAATTGGTATCTGCTCCTGGATCTCAAGCTGGTTCTGCTTATGGAGATTATTATGAAGAACGTGGTGGTATGAAAAGTCGTTCTCGTTCACGTTCACCTGCACCTCCATATATGGATGAAAATATTAGATCAAATCATAATCTTATTGGTGCCGATATGCGATCATCTCAATCCCGTTCAACACGTCCTGGAGATTCAGCAAGTCATCGAGGATCAACTCTCGTACGTGTTGACAATGAACTTTCTGGATCACGGCCGGCTAGTCTTATAGAAGCAGGTTATTATGGTAGTTCAATAATAGATAGTGGTTTCCCTTCTGATGATGAAATACTGCAAGAGATTCGAAATATTTTATCTGCAGCTAATTTGATGACAATAACAAAAAAACAAGTACGGGATGACTTGTCTAATTACTTTGGTATGGATATAAGCTCAAAGAAAGAGTACATTAATAATTGCATAGAATTAATACTTCAAGGAAGGCTATAAGATAGCAATTCTAGCCGATAAAAAAAAAAAAAAAAACAAAACAAACTCGACTATCCAATTTTTTCGCAAATCTAAAATCAAATCAAATATTAAAATGATTTTTTGAAATTTTTGATTTAATTTTTTTTTTTTTTTTCAAATCAAA